TGTCTTTAAAGTATAAGGTAGAAAGTACGTACCTGATTGTCATGGCTGGGCAGGACACAATATCCCGGCTCTGTCCTGCGCAGGAGGCGTGGGGAATGAGTACGGAAAGGCCTGGGAGAGTGGGAACAGACGGAACGCGGAGAGGGAGAACTGATGGAGCGTGGTGACGGAGACCGGACAGAACGGGATGGCGAGTAAGTGATGGAGTGGGATTGGGAGAGTATGTGACTGTGGTGGTTTTGTTTGGGTGGGCGAGGGGAACGAGGAGGCAGCTCGGGCGGTTTGAGAGGGTCGACCATGTCCATCTCCGTGAGGATTGGCGGCGGAGGGACGAAATCGAGCTCCCCCTCTTGCGAGAGCGTTTGCATTTCGGCCGCATCAAGTTCGGCGAGCTCCGTCTTTGACAAGTGATCCACAATCCCGGCACCGAATGAGTCGCCAACGACATTGATGGAGGTACGCATTCGGTCACTGAGTGGACAAATGGCATCAGTGTCAGTGAGTGAAATTACGGCTTAGTGATACCAACATTACGTTAAGTGTCAGCACCCTAACATGGATCGCAGAGCAGTGATTTGTTATTGCCTGCTCATCAGACACCTGACTCACAGCAGCCAGTCGACAGCGATCAGCAGGCTGATGTCCTGGGTAGGCAGGCCGACAGCTGTCAGGATCAGTAGCATGGTTACCAGTCCAGCGCTAGGAATACTGGCGGCTCCAACACTGGCCAGCGTGGCGGTCATACTGGAGAGAAGAGATGGGAAAAAGGTATATTTGAATCATGCTTGCAGTAATGTGCTGTAGGCAGGCAGAAATAATCAAATAGTGATTTTAGTGATGATTCTGGCTTTTTCCCATTTATGCTCATGTGGCCTTTTCCAATCAGTCAATCAATCAAGTGCAACTATTTCATCACTTCCTAATAGTTCAGCTTGAGTCAAGTGTCAGACATCCCTGTAACTACTGTGCTGCCTCTTTTTGCCTTTTTTGTCTATCTGCATAAATCAAAGGACACGCTGGGTGTCTTTAAATTCTGTGTCTAGTACTACCTCCCCTGTAAGAGGTTTTTTTAAAAAACTTAAATAAATTGTATTGTTTGTTACACTAATGGCTAATTATGTCAAATAAACAAGCTTGGAATACTGTTAAAATATTTGATATCATAATTTGTAACTCATTTGTAATTAGTAATGCAGGTCTAAGCTAAAGCAAATTAAATAGCATGGCCTCCATCAGTTTTTCCAATAGATATCCTTTCTTTGATTACATAGCAGTTGTATCCG